GATTCTCTCCATTTTATCTGAAGTTAAGGAACAGAGAGTTTATAATTGGCAATAGTGCCTTTTATTTTTATGATTTGTCTTATTTTTATTGGAAAGGCAGACTCAAAGAGAGGAGGAGAGACAGAAAGATTTTCCATTTGCTGGTTCACTCCCCAAGTGGCTGCAACAGCCTGAGCTGAGCCGATCCAAAGCCAGGAGACAGAAGTATCTTCCGGATCTCCCCTGTGGGTACAGGGTCCCAAGACTTTGGATTATGCTTTGTTGCTTTCCCAGGTCATAAGCAGGGAGCTGGTTGGTTAAGTGGAGCAGCTGGGACATGAATCAGTGCACATATGGGAACCTGATGCTTGCAGAGAGAGCCATCATGTGAGGCCACCCATCCCCTCCACCATAGCTTTTAATTGGCATAGCCAGAACCTAAATCTTGGTTTGGGGAATTTATCTATGAAAGTTGAATATGCACATTATTTGGCAAATATGTGCATTAAAAGATACATACAGGAATATTCATGATTGTGTAAGACTAGGAACTGAACTATCTAAATTCTATCCTTAATGAAATGTATAAACAAATGATGGATGGTATATTTCCAGAATGGAATAATATATACCAACAAAAATAAATGAATAAAATCTGCACATAGCACAACTAGATTTCATAACATAAGCAACAGAAATTGGACATGATATAAGGCATATCTCATGATCCCATTTAATAAAAAAATACACATCTATGCTAGGTTAGCGTAATTATGACTCCATGTTTATTTTGTGAAGCTACAGATAACAGAAAGAAAACAGTTACCATAGGTTGGAAAAATGATGTTACGATGGAAGAAAGGACAAGATGTAATATGAGGAAGCGTAAGCAAGTGGGTTCTGTAACAAGGAGGGCACACTGAGGTAGGTATAGGTTATCTCTGAAAAAAGTTAGAAATGTATTTTAGAGGAGGACAGAAACAGAGGAGCTGGCTAAGAGCAGAAAATACTATAGTATTTGAATATCTTTCTGTATCATATCTTTCGGTATCATATATTTTTTAAAGATTTTTTTTTATTGGAAAGGCAGATATACAGCGAGGAGGAGAGACAGAGAGGAAGATCTTCCATCCGATGGTTCACTCCCCAAACGGCCGCAACGGCCGGAGCTGAGCCAATCCAAAGCCAGAAATCAGGAGCTCGTCTGGATCTCTCACACGGGTGCAGGATCCCAAGGCTTTGGGCCATCCTCGACGGCTTTCCCAGGCCATAAGCAGGGAGCTGGATGGGAAGCGGGGCTGCCGGGATTAGAAGTGGTGCCCATATGGGATTCCGGTGCGTGCAAGGTGAGGACTTAAACCACTATGCTATCGTGCCAGGCCCATAATATGATATCATATTTTTATATGCTGCATAATAACATATCCAGCAATATTATTTTAATTTCCAAACAAATTTGAAAGATTTGGATTCAGAAATAAGATTTAGTTAAAACAGAACAATTGTACTCTAAAATCAAATTTGATGTTGGTATTAAAGCATATATTAAATATATGGTGATTAAAAGTCAGTATTATCATTAAATATTGTTTTCTCAAATATTAGGCATATAGAGATATGACTATCCTTTGTCAGGACGGGCTGCCATGGTCAGAATCTCAGGATCTCATAACTGAAAAGCAGGGCAGCTGCACAGTTGCTCATGAGATTTACATTTTCTTCTTACGAATAATCAGAAGTAGGAGTGAGACTCCCAGTGTGCACCATCTGATTCTCACGCTGTCCTCGCACCATCTCCTCCTCCAGCATGCCTACCTCCAAAGCTGTACACTCCTGGAGGTTTTGCTGCTAACTCATGATATCCTGTTTGAAAATTCTCCCCCAGCAAGCCTGTAACTGTGGACAAAGAGCATGCGTACATGTTTAGGGGATAATGCTTTTCTTAACCACAGGATGCAGTTAAGAACTTGCATTTTCTAACATATGGGTCACTCAATAATATCATGTCAATTAACTCCATAATGTGGTAAAATGGTGTTGATGTTATGTTGTGGCTTTTAATTGGTTGGGATGATATTCTGCCAGCTCTGCCTTCAGCAGAGATGGTTTCCCTGAGAAACTGTTGAATTTATCTGGACAATAAGATGCTGAACTCTATGCATGGTACATGCTTGCAATGAAAGAATCTTGACTGGATTTGAACCGTAATACAGCCACAAGGTGAAGGAATCCACCATGGGGGGAGGGTATGGGAAGGGGTTGGGGGAATCCCAGAGCCTATGAAACTGTGTCATAAAATGAAATGTAATTAATTTTTAAAAAATTTATAAAATAAATTAATAAATAAAATGTCCCCCCCCAAAGAATGGCATCAAGAATGGAAACAAAGGGGAAAATATCTAATTTGCGTATCAAATACTAATAAGTTAAAAATGACAAAAAGATATTAAACATAACGGTAACATCCATCATAACAATTAAGATTGAATATCTTAAATATAAAAGGTTTCACGGCCAATCATTAATAAATTAGAAACACCAAATAAAATCCAGGACCAAAGACGAAGAACATAAATCAGGAAATAATAAAGGAGAGCCCTGCAAGAAACATTGTATGGATGTCAGATTCCCTGGGAAGCTGTGATGGAGGTTCACTCCCAGGTGGCTCACTATAGAGCCTTGCAGGTGCATCACCTTGCAGGAGGAGTGAGGGGAGCAGAGAGGAGTAGAAAGGACCTGCCTCAGAGGCTTTAGCACTTCCCAGGATGCACTGCGGCTGGCAGGCTCCATCAGGGATGCCCAAGACTCTTCGGGCTTTGTGTTGCTACATCATCCCATACGCGGAATGGGGGGCTCACAGCACAGCCCGGGGTAAGTAGCTTCCCCAGAAGGCCTTGTGTCTTGGTTCTACTCTTTTATCAAAGCACCTAATAAAGCTTCAAGTCTGAATTATTGCTTTTTAAAAGATTTGTTGACTTTTATTGGAAAGGCAGAATAGAGAGGAAGTGAGACAGAGGAAGATCTTCCTTCCGATGGTTCACTCCCCAAGCAGCCACAACAGCTGAGCTGAGCCGATCCGAAGCCAGGAGCCAATCCAAAGCCAGGAGCCTCTCTCAGGTCTCCTACTCCAGTACAGGATTCCAAGGCTTTGGGCCGCCCTCCACTGCTTTCCCAGGCTACAAGCAGGGAGCTGGATGGGAAGCAGGGCCACCAAGGATTAGAACCGGTGCCCATATGGGATCCTGGTGTGTTGAAGGCAAGGACTTTAACCACTACGCTATCGCATCAGGTCCTGTCTGAATTATTTTTTAACTACCCAGAGAGTTCTCTTGTGCAGTGAATTGGGGGGCCTCCATACCATTTTTCTGTGTATTCCAGAGTTCATCCTTGTTTTAGAATAGAGTTTCCACAGCTGTGTGGGATTGTCAGTAGCTTGCTTGACTCTGCAAAAATTTCAATCTTACCTTTGAGTGGATCAACTTAGTTCTTATAAACGGTTGAGATTTGGCTTTATGAAGAACAACTTCATGATTGTCCACTATGTAACTGTCACCATCCACTATATTTATTTACTATTTCTTAGAGAATAATTGTAGGAAAACCTCTGAGGAAAATATAAAGATGAATTAAAAAGTTTTAGCTGTGGATTATCTGGACTCCTTTCTTGCCTCATTCAAATCAAAACCAAGCAGAAAGTTGAACAGATTCCTGTCTCGTAGAATCTTCTGCAGGAACTTTTCAAAGTTTTCTGAACCACACCATAACCCTAACAGTCTTTTTGCCTTCTGAGATATTTGGGGGGAAATAATGGAGAGAAGAGGGAAGACAGCCAAGTAGGGAGAGAGCAGTGGATGACAATGACACATCACATGTAGAACACGCCAGAAGAGACGACTCCTGCGACAGGCCATCTGTGCCCTGCTGTATGCCCTCAGCCTGCACTGGCAGTCTTGGTCAGTAGCCATGGGCACCACTGGCTTCTGAATTTCTCTGCCTGATGCTGAATCCATCTTTGGGAGCTGGCCCATAGTGTGGGTCCCTGATGCTGTGGAATGTGGGGATGGGAAGGCTGAGCAAACCCCCTAGAGGGGCAATTCAGAGGTGAAACCCACACACTCTCACATCATCAGTGTGATGTACCCCTGGAAGCACAAGAAGATTGCCCCCATAATCATCTCTCCTCTTCTCTCCTTGTCTTCCCATCTATTAGCTCACTGTGCTGTTGGGACCACTTTCCAAGGAAATCAGTTGCCTCAGTAGGAAGCCCAAAATAAACACCCAGTAAGGACAATGCTCATTAACCTGGAAGGAAGATTTTGCAGACCTTGGGTGCATTCCAGGACAGTGGGTGTCTCCAACTGTCCAAGTCCGTATAATATCTGAAGTTCAAATCATACTCCATAACCTCCTTGAAGTATGCTCGGGGCCATTAAACCAGGGCAGCCAATGTTCCCCACCAAGGAGCATTGTCAATGGGCTGGGAAGGGACAGTAGCAGGAGGAGCTGAATATAAGTGACTGACAGATATGTCAGGGAAAGCAGCGATGGTGACAGAAAGTTCCATAATGCCCAGGGACATGAAGGGATAGCTGTGGGGTTGCCCCTCATGTGTGGAACTGTGGTTTACACACTTTTAACTTAATACTCAGGAAAATGGTGACCAAGCCCCACTGAAGACTTAGGAAGGTGCAAGGGGTCCACTGTAAGGCTCCCTGCTGTTGGGTCATTCAGAGCTTCAAGGAGGAGGGGAGGCACAGATGTGAATATGTGCCTGAAGACCATGGTGGAACTGGGGCCTGAGTGACAGGGCCACATGTGTGAGAGGCCAGGAGTGTGTTGGTATTCTGCAGCATCCTGGGGACCAGTGTCCAGGTGTGGGACTAGGAGGACATGCAGTCCAGGAGCACACAGTGTGAACATAAATGCAGATCTGCACAGTGAGACTCAAGTGTTGACTCATGGAACAGATTTGCTTAGGACCTGCTGCTCCCAGAGGACTAAATGACCACAAGACAAAGTAATTTCAGCTGTGTACATTTTTAATAGCAAAAAAATATGCATGTTGTGTCCAGAAAGCAAAAATAGAAGCTGCAGGATATGCAATCATCCTACAAATGTGTGTCCCTACATGCTAACCATATCCCTTTCTAGGTACTGATTACCATAAATATTGGTGCCAAAGAGAGACCGAGTTGATCTGTCTGAGTTGAGGCTTTTGGCATATTTGCGACCTTCTGTGGGGGAAAATTACAGTTCTGACTGCTCCATGGATTTCCTTGCCTTGTCTCTCTGTAGTTTCAGAATTTCAATCTCCAGGGACAGCTTGTATACCTCCAGGGCCATCTTCACCTCAGCTGGATTTGCAAGACACTGCATGAGTCTTTGACCAGCAAGCACTTGTTCACAGCCTTCAGGAACCACCTGAAAGAAATAGTCATCCCAGTCCCACCAAGGCCTTCCACGTGGGCCATGGATGTGTCCTCGCCCAGATGGCCAGAGACCTCTTACAGGGCCAGAGGCTATGTTTGCTAAACATCCACACACAGAGCAGGATCTTGTACAGATCAGGGTAGGTCAGGTTGACTGCTGGAACTCCAGTAGACCCGGCCCTCCAAGGACCGCAACATTTCCTGGTCCCGAGTAAAAGCAGAAAAACCTACCACCTGTCACTCACCAGAGGGCCACAAGGTGGACACAGAAGGTTGCTCTGAATGATCCAGACAATTCTGGACAAAGTCACTACTGCTGGCTGGGATGGAGCTCTGGGGTGGAGGAGGGGTCATCATGGATAGCGAAGGGCAACACAAAATTTCCTGAATTGTACAACTTACCCACTCACACTTGGGCACTTCTGGGTGCCAAGTTCTGTTCTCTGAGCAAGTGATGTTTGAGGAACCAATCACACCATAACCAGCGTTGCACTGGACAGTCACACTTTCCATTTCATTATATTGTGCCATCACCACAGACAGCTTTCCATTCATTATTTCTGGTTTCGGACACACAGCTATAATGGAAACATTGTTAGTCCATCAGTAAATCTAAGAAAAAGGACATGATAACAATCTAGGAATAAAATTATGTACAAGTAGGTGCTTCTAATTTTTATATTTTTGTTTCAATTTGATTATAACATTATATATATTTTAAGGGTATGTCCTGACTGTGGTGTGATTCGGGACATAAAATCTCCTTGACCCCTTGTTCATTATTCTCCCATATGAAGGGAACCTAATGGCAAGCAATAGGTCCTGGAACTGTTGGACCAAGGTGGTATGTGTTGGTAACTCACCTATGTCTGTAAATATTCAACCAGATTGTGCCTCTCCCTCTCCCCACTCGTGGCTGCGCATCAGGAGCCCCCTCGTATTATATACACATCTAGAGTGTGACAAGTGGTGGCCTGCACGAGCCTCTGATTGAGGCAAGTGTCATTTCCTGCACCTGTCAAATCAGCCCAGAAGAGCCTACATTCATACTGGGGCAAGTTGTCATGAAGACTGGGCCACAGACCCACAGGTATAAAACAACATATAAAATGTAAGGACCCTAGACCATGTCTAGAAATACATACAAGAAGCTGAGAGCAGGAATAGTTTCCCAAGGGTTGAATCTGTGACTGGCATTCCAAAGCAGAAACTAACAATGGTGCATGCCTTTGCTACTTTGTGCATCAGGCATCATCTGCTTGCAAGAATTGCTTAAAATGTGCTCCTCCTGCCTCTGGGAGGGAGGAACATTGCTTTTCATCTTCACATGAGAGTTCCCCCCACCCAGCCATCATCCTCACATGACTGTTCCCCCTACCCAGTCATAAGCTGATGGGAGGCTGGAGGTACCTTTGCACTGAGGGGCTTCTGGGGACCAGTGTTCATTTTTGCAGGAGAGTTTCTTCGCTCCCACCAGCGTGTAGCCTTCTTCACATTCATATTCAACCTCCACGTTGAGTGTAAAACGCTTTTGTCTATGATGCCCATGGGCAATGCTAGGCGGACTATTGCAACCTTCATGGTGAAACACAGACAGGAGGAAGCATGAGATACAGAATGTGTTGAGTAGTCCACCCTTGAATTTGTGTTGTTGGTAGAAGGCTTCCTTTCCCCCCATCTCTGCCCAGAGGATCACTTGGCCAAACCCAAGCATTCATGCTGCATCTTTTTTTTTTTTTTTTTTTTTTTTTATTATTTTTTCATTGGAAAGGCGGATATACAGAGAGGAGAGACAGAGAGGAAGATCTTCCGTCCGATGATTCACTCCCCAAGTGAGCGCAACGGGCCGATACTATGCCGATCCGAAGCCAGGAGCCTCTTCCGGGTCTCCCACGCGGGTGCAGGTTCCCAAAGCGTTGGGCCGTCCTTGACTGCTTTCCCAGGCCACAGGCAGGGAGCTGGAAGGGAAGCGGGGCTGCCGGGATTAGAACCGGCGCCCATATGGGATCCCGGGCGTGCAAGGCGAGGACCTTTAACCACTTGCGCCACCGCGCCGGGCCCTCATGCTGCATCTTGCAGACCTCATTCTGATGAAAGTTAAAGGTTCAAGTCCATGGATTTTTCTTGCCACCATGCCCTTAACAAGTGCATTCAGCTTAATTTTGTTTATAAACCATTTTTTTTTGCATGAAGGTTAGATTTGGCCCTAAATCAAACCATGCCACTCATGCATTCAGTGCATTTCAGGTTAAATGTAGAGATGTATGAAGAATACCAAAACATTTCTCCTTAAACTGTCTTGAGTTTAAAACACTGAGATGCAAAGAGGGTTCTCTGTTTTTCACATTTGCCAGATGACAAGACAGGAAATCAGACAGACGAAAATCAGACAGCCAGCCTCCCTTTTCCCACACAGGACAGAGATGTGATTTCTCAGTTGCTCATCAGCTCGGGGGAGGGGAATGAAACAGCTCCCGCAGTACCAGACGTCTGGAACAGACTTCTCTGACCCTCTTCCCACTCCCCTCTTTGCCGTGGCCTCTCTAAGACACATGGCTCTCTGTTCACAGCTGGATCATTTCCGAGTTAAAGTTACTGTTTTGAAAGAGTTCTTTCCAGAGAGAGTTACTTCTCTTCCAGAAGAGGGGCATGACATATGCTTCTTTTTCTCTTACTAATCTGTCTTTTGTTCCAGCAGAATGTCCCAACTAGGAGCTTATAGGAGTTGATAAAAAAAAAATGTGTGTGTTTTTCCTCTACATAGGCATGTATCAAGAAATTTTAAGTATGTTAGTTGTTGGCATTGTGGCATAGCAGGTAAAGCCACTGCCTATGACGCTGACATTCAATATGGGTACCCATTTGGTGCTCCACTTTTGATCTAGCTTCCTGTTAATGCACCTAGGAAGGCAGTGGAGGATGGTACAAGTTCCTGGGTCTTTGCACGCCTTGGGATACCCAGAAGGAGCCATTCGCTTCTAGCTGCAGTGTGGCCCAGCTCAGATGAGTGCAGCCATTTGGGGAATGAACCAACGGATGCAAGATCTCTTTCTCTTTCTTCCCCCGCCTCTCTCTATAACTTTGACTTCCAGATAAATAAATAAATCTTAAAAAATAAGGTCAATTCACAAACTCTCAGTCATTACTCCTCGGTCAAAACTGTTGCTCCATCTAGTACATGGTCATTGTGTTTTAAAATCATTTTAGAAAAGAGCTTACAGGAAAAATTAAAATGGCTTTTTTTACACTGAAACAAACAAGACCTGGTTCAGAGAACTTGTGTGAGAGGAAACTGCCGGGATACACGAACACTGCACAAGAAAGCCAAGTAACGGAGAGCAGTGGGAATGTCAAGTTCATGCTGATTTGGGGGGTCATGAGTACTGTATTGAAGTGCTTGCTAGAAGCACGGAAAAAATGATACCTAACAACAAGTGAGATTGAAATGGTGGTGTTGTGCTACAGAGGGTTAAGCCTTCAACTGCGGTATCAGAGCTGATCTTTGCACTGATTTGAGTTCTGGCTGCTTTACTTTCCCATCCTGTTTCCTGCTAATGGGCCTGCTAATGTGCCAGATGGCTCCTGTCCTGCGCATAGGAGAGACCTGGATGGTATGCCTGGCTCTTGGCTTCAGCCACTCTTGTGGGAGACCCAGGTTTAGTGCCTGCATCCTTTGGCATAGTCCAGCCCTGACTAATGTGGGCATATGAGGAGTGAATCAGTGAATGGGAGATTGCTTTGTCAAATGTTAACATTTTTAAAAGCCAAACAGGAAAAATGTCTCAGCTGGTCAAAGCCAGCCAACCTCTGTCATTAGCTTCACTGGTGCAGACACAGGAGGAAATGGAACAAAGTAGCCATGATGGCATGGATAGAGAAGCATGGGCACAAAAGCCAAGTTAATTGTCATTGAGCTTTCAATCTACAACGACAACCCTGGATCCCTTACAGGATAGCAGCTATTGCCACTTAGTGGCAAACTGACTACACTGGACCCTTTTCATCCTAAAAGAAATAGCAACTTATTATGACAGAAATAGACAAATATTAGTAGAATTGGTTTCCCTTTCCTGGCTTTGGGACCTGAGTCAGCACTGCTGTCTAAAGGATTACAGAGTGTCTGAACAAGTGGTAGGTGGAGGAACTAAGGACATGCCACCCTAACATATGCCAGGCTGGCAGATTGCGTGCTTTTGAGATGAAGGCACTTGAGATAGTGTAGCTATAAAAGAAGAAGCCACACAATTCTTTTTGGAGGAAGATGCCTTTCCCCTATGAGCACAAGAACTTGTCAAAGTCACCCTTGTCTTCCACTGTATCTCCTGGGGACACCTTTACTACTTACTACCCCATCCCAGTTCCTCTGAACTTTTATTCCTTCACAGATTTATGTTTGACTTTTCTTTATCTAAACAGTATAAAAGGCTTTATGTTTGGGAATTTTTTTTTCCATTCTCTTGTGAATATTTTCATACATGTAAATAAATAATAAAATTGATATGTTTTTCTCCTGCTAACTATCTTGATTCAGAGACTATCTGGGGAGCAGTAGGTATTGGGGTGATAGTCATGGTACCCACTCCTGTAAATCACTCACTGTACCACCCAGAGCCTGCTACCTGTCAGCTGTGGGAATGCTGTGTGAAGGAATTGCCAACTGACAGGCAGACGAGCGCTGTTTTCCAGAGGGCAATAGTCACTTTTCTAAGCAAGAGCCAAGCTTGCTGTAGCTATGGGTCCCCAATAAAAAGAAGCGTCTGGGTCCATAAACGAAGGCTTGGAAGCAAGAATAGCTTTTTCCAAAAGAGTCACCTGCAAATTTTGTCCTCATCTCCAAAAGATCTGCAGGTTTAAAAGTCATGGCTGGCAATGAAGAGACATCTCTACCACAAGAAATAGGATTGTTCATATTGCTTCACAAGCTGTCACTAATGCCTGGCCACTTTGAGCATCCTTACCATCAAGAGGTAATGCTATCAATTACAGTGGGAGAAGGGAGGGATGTGTTAGTACTTCACTGCCTCTGGATCCTGGAGAGGAAAGCATTTAGCATCCAGTAACTGACCTGAAGATGTAAATTCACAGAAGTCATTCAAATCAACTTGGGCAAGACTTGGTCTAGAGCGAAGAGAAAACCTAGGAACTAGAAGTAAGGGGAAAGCCCAGCGTGATAGCCTAGCAGCCAAAGTCCTCGCCTTGTATGCACCAGAATCCCACATGGAAACTGGTTCTAATCCCATCAGCCCCGCTTCCCATCCAGCTCCCTGCTTGTGGCATGGGAGAGCAGTCAAAGTTAGCCCAAAGCCTTGGGACCCTGCACCCATGTGGGAGATCCAGAAGAAGTTCCTGACTCCTAACTTTGGATTGGCTCTGCTCCAGCCATTGCGGCTACTTGGGGAGTGAACTATCAGATGGAGGATCTTCCTCTCTGACTCTCCTCTCTGTATATCTGCCTTTCAATAAATAAATAAACAAATAAATAAATAAATCTTAAAAAAAAGAAGTAAGGGAAGAATAGAGAACAAATGCAAAGAAGCACAAGTCGGTGATCAAATAATCCAGCATATGATTAGACATGGTCTAATTTCATGGATTCAGAAAAGATGAAACCAGAAAGGCCAAGAGAGTGAGTGAATATGAAAAATGGAGAGAAGAAAGACAAAATTGGGTCCACATCTTGCATTTTTAAAAACCTACATTTTTAAAAACCAAGCTTTAAACCTTCTCTGAAGAATCCCATCACATTGATAATTCTATGAAGTCTTACTGAAACTACACGATGGTGTTTGAGGGTGCCATCTGCCATCCGCTTGGCAAGTAACTGAAGACCGTGCTTTCCGCAGACACGAGTAGGAAACTTGGTCTCTGTAGAAGTAGGTGCAGTTATTGCGCTGGGAGGCTTTTTTGTGCTCCACAATTTCACCGTTCTCCAGCTGTGGTGGTGAGCAACATACCTCTAAAAAACAAAAGTGAGGCTAGAAGTTAGGAAAACACCATGTGGAGGCTCCTAGGGTGAACAAGCGTATTTCCACTTTCAGTTGAATTCACCCCATAGAGAGGCTGGAGAAAGAGGAAACTAGATACCAGGTGTCTGCTCTCCCTGTCCCTGATGGGTGGAGAATGATCCAGCCTTCCCCAGCTAAGCATTTTCATGAGGGGCTTCCCAGGTGACACATCAGAATAAACTCAGAGGAAATGTTTCACATTTATTCAACATCGGTGATGGTAAACATCCGTTTACTTTTGGCTTCATCAGATGTACATTATTGTTGGCTCTAAGAACATACTTCTGCAGTCACAAGGAAGACACATGTTTCCAACTGGTCAACTCATCTGACAGGTAATGCACAGAAAGAAATTTAAGATGAGTGCTTGTGGCTATTACATTTCGTCTTTGATACAACCTTTAAGAGAAAGAGCAATTGAGATTCTGTCATTGTTTGTTAGTGTTTGGGATTTTAGGGGTCCAAAGAAAGTACAGATGTTACTGTAGAAAGGAGGGCATGGTAGGGGAGGTAAAGTGGCAGTCCACCTGGATAGTGGGCAGGGATATGAAGTGGGTGTTCAGCCACACAGACAACTGGAAGGGACCCCCCTCTGAATCTATTCGTTAGATTGTGTAGGTATGCAGAACATCACCTGCCATGATGGGTGAGCTCCCACATGTAGAAAAAGCCCCATCAGCAGCTGTTAATTGGCGCTGATGATTGACTATCTGTGGTTCCATCACTTTGGGTGTCCCAGGAGAGGCACTTGTAAAGGTTGGTGCCAGCTGGAGGAGTAAGTGAAATTCCACCAAAGTCTAGGGTTATCTACTTGTACCCAATTCTATCAGGTCGGAAATGAACAATAGTGACTGATGGCTTATAATCTCCTAACATTTAAATATAATAAGAGTGGAAAGATACATTTTTAATTCATTAGTTGATATATTTTAAGATGGAAACTAATATTGTGTGATGATCAATTTACTTTCCAAAGGGCTTCCATGCCCAGAGCTGGGCATGTCTGAAGCTGGGAGCCAGGGGATGCTTCTGAGTTTCCCATGGGGGTACAGGGCTCCGCGACCTTGGGCCATCCTCTATTGCCTTCCCATGCCATCAACAGGGAGCTGGATCAAAAGTGGAGCAGCCAGGATATGGACTGGTACCCACATGGGATGCCAGTGCCACAGGTAAAGGATTAGACTACTACACCAACACACCAACCCTTTGGTGCTTATTTCTTTTCTTTTCTTTTTTTAAGATTTTTTTAATTGGAAAGTCAGATATACAGAGAGGAGGAGAGGCAGAGAGGCAGAGAGGAAGATCTTATGTCTGCTGATTCATTCCCCAGGTAAGGACACAGGCTGGAGCTGAGCCCATCTGAAGCCAGGAGCCAGACGCTTCTTCCAGGGCTTCCATAGGGGTGCAAGGTCTCAAGGCTTTGGGCCATTCTCCACTGCCTTCCCAGGCCACAAGCAGAGAGCTGGATGGGAAGCAGGGCCACTGGGATTACAACCGATGCCCATATGGGATACCTGTGTGTGCAAAGTGAGGACTTTAGGCCACTAGATTACTGTGCCAGGCCCACAGTGCTTATTTCTCTTAATGAACTATAATAAAAATTAAAATGTTCAGGACTGGCACTGTGACACAGTCAGTTAAGCATCCTCGAGCAGTGCTAGCATCCCACATGTGAGCAAGTTCAAGTCCAGGCTGCTCCACTTATCCATCTCTTCCCTGCTAATGGCCTAGGAAGGGCAGCAGAAGATGGACCCAAGTGTTTGGGTCCCTGTCACTCACATACAAGACCACAATGTTGTTGTAGTGCCTGACTTAAGCCTGACTGAGTCCTGGCCATTGTTGCCATTGGGACGTGAACCAGCAGATGCAAAATCTCTCTATGTGTGTGTCAACCTCTCTCTCTCTCTCTCTCTCTCTCTCTCTCTCTCTCTCTGTAGGTCTGACTTTCTAATAAGTAAATTAATCCTAAAAGAATAAAATAAAAATGTTGGACATTCATATGGGTTACAAATTATAGCAATATTGATTGTAGAGGGTGGTGCCAGTGCATTGAATGGAATTCCCCCAAATAAAGGGGGTTTTAAGCTCCCCAGGTCTGCCCAGGGATGCAAATCATCTGCCTGGAAAAGCCTCGTGGATAGTACAAACCTCGGCCTACCTGAGAAGACACTGCATCTACAAGCATGCTTCTTGGGTTGCAGTTCCTATTGCAGTCCATAGCTGTCCTGCCTGCTGCTCCCTTGCAAGCCTGTGGCCACACTCACCCTAAAAAGGGACTCCTGCAGGTGCACCCCTCAGATCACAATCCATGTTGCTGCAGGAGTCTGCCTCTACTGCCCTGTTTGCCCACTGCTTCCCCGCAGTGTGTTTAAGTCCAGCCTTGGTGTCCACCTGCTCTTGTGAATTCACTCACCACCCATCATACTGGACTCAGTCAATCTCTTCCTTCAAGATTTACATAATGTTTTCTAGTGCACAAAACATTTTAAACTATGTGAGTCTTGAGTCTAAATTCATATTTAAATTTTATAATTTGGATAAGTGTCATTTTGCTTCTTTTTGAATGGTTAAAGGTATCTTTTATTTAATAATTATTAAATTATTAAAAAGAATTATTTAATAATTACATCAATAAGATCCTTGCGGGGATAAAATAAGCATAACTAAAAAGGACCCTGTGTAACTCCTTGTTATTTAGGTAATAACAACAAAACCAAGCCCCACCGTTACTGCTGTCTACATAACCTAGACTCAGCCTGTATCCCTCCATTAGCTTGTAATTCCTCTGTCTTCATTTGAACGATTATAAATCAACTTCTTACCAAATATTAACTCACTATTTTAAGGGTGGTACAAGGGCAAAGCCAGCTCTACAAGATCCCAGAGCACCACAGTCAGAATTTAATAATCATCTCTGGAGCTCACACCCTCACCAAGACACTATTTTGAGAAACTTTGCAGGAACTCCAGGCCCTGACCGCATGAATGATCAATCGACTAGTAGCCTCCAGATGGGCCAGAGTCTACTTTGCTATCAAGGCATCTTCAGAACACTCCAGCTTCCCACACTAATCAATGTAAGGAAGGCCAGGAGCACTGTAGACCAGTCACAGGCCTTCATATGAGCTAATCACACACTGCACGAACCCAGTTTTAATCTAGGGTTCACTAGCCTTAATGTCTAAGCAAGTTTAGGAAGCAAGTAACAGCTGCCTGCTCCTTTGCTCTGCATGTTGCACAATAAGTGTCTCCTTCCTTCTCCCTGCCCAGGGTCAGTGATTGGCTCGCTACATGCTGCACATGTTAGCGTTTTCTGTTTTGTTTTGTTTATTTGGGGGGAGTTGACAACAGCAATAAGTTCTGTTAAATTTACTTTTTATTCATTCTTCTTACTACAGCTTTTCCTTCTATTCCGCTAAAATGAGCCCAATACCAACAATTAAACTTTACATCCTAATGCTAAATCAGTAACATGCTGATAGGTTGATCTGAACTGCCACTTTGCATTGGTTATGCACTTCACATATTTTTCAAGATCTGATGCGTAGCATAAAACTCTTTGTGTTTTACAACATATAATTCTCAATGTTTTCTTCTCTGAATGACAAGGTTCTGATGGATAAGTGGGAGAGGTATTCTCTGACTTGCTGTCAGTTTCATGAAGGCCCTTAAAATGGCACCCACTGGCAATATGGTTCCTCCTCCTTGGCCACAGACAGAAAAGGAGGCACTTGTCCTACTGGTGAGCCTGTATCCTCCTGAGGTCTCGTATCCTCCTCAGGCAAGAATACAGGGTCAGGAATCAGAGCCTGAATCTAGAGGTTGGGCAGGAGATCCAACTCATCAGCCTGCCAACCCATGACTCTAGAAGGATGAGACAAATCATCCGGCAGCTAGGGTTGATAAGGATTTTATAGGCCTTCCTTCTTTTAAAGCATCCTAAAGTTTCCATTGCAGAGGTAAGAGTTGTAAGCTAAGTCTAACTGGGGATGTCACTGAGCCACATTCTCTACTCTAGTCTTAAGAATAAGAGGATATTCTTCAAGTTGAGGAATCCTGGCATAGACTGCACATTTAACACACACGGAGATGTTCAAAGCAGTAACTCACCTTCACACGCTGCAGCCACACTCCAAGTGAAATCTTCCAGACACGTCACAAATAGAGGCTCATTTGTTGCAGGTTTGTAGCCACTCTTACACCAGTAACTTAGCATTTTCCCAACAGAATACACAGGCTCTTGTCTGAGATTTTGTGTCGGCAGATAAGCATTTGGAATATTTGGTAAGCCAATACAACTATCTGCTCATTAGGGAACAACAAGGGAGAGAGGACAATGTTACCAGGGTTGTCACGGTAGTCAATGCACTTGTTCCCTCCAAGCGTGGCATGTGTTCATTCAGCCAGGAGCACAGCTGCAATGACTGACAGATCAGATCCAAGAGGTAACAGACCTTCACCTAAGGATGCACAGCACTGCGGGAAGTCTCACCAAGACACTGCCAAGTGCTTTCTGTCTACTGAGCCAACTATTTGCAATATTTATTCTCCTTCCTGAACTGAAGCATTAGGCTTGTTAGGTTAACATGATGGGAAAACTATTAGAGTCCAACAAAAACATTCCCTGAATGATTGGAGGAAACTGACAGGAACCAGACAATGCCAACAATTTCCTGATTAAATTGTTTGGCTCGCAGGAACCATGCTCTAAGCAGTTGTGTTTAGCCTGAGCCTGCTCTTTTCTCTCTTGCCTGATGCTTTTGATGCATGTGGTATAGAAAATAAGCATCCACCGTATTGGATGTGTATGAGACTTATGATTATGGCTAATGGGGCAAGGTGCTTTTGTAAGCTTTTTTTTTTTTTGAGATACAAGTCACATAATATAAAATTCATTTAGAGAGTGCAGTTCAATGGTTTTTAGTATAATCACAAAATTATTCAGCCATCACCCCACCTGGTTTCAGAATATTTGTTTCGTCCCATATTTATTAGCAGTCACTCCTTGCCCAGATCTTGCCCATCACTAATCTACTTTACTTCTTCCATTAAGTTTACTATTCTGAACACATTGTTAAAGAAACTGGAATCATATAGTGTCTTTGTTTTTGTGGCTGACTTCTTCTATCTATAATGTTTTCAAGGTAGCAGAATGGATCACTACTTCATTTATTTCTATTGCCAAATGATATCCTACCGCTTGGGTACTCTGATTTTAAAATTTATCTGTCATTCTCAACTGATGGGCATTTTAATTATTGGGCGTTTGTGAGCAAAGCTGCCATGGAGCTTCATGGAAAACGTGTGTGGACAATTGCATTTCTTCTGGGTAGACACCTATGAGGATAATTGCTGGGTGGGATAGTAATTCTGTGCCTAAACTATGGAAGAACTGTCAAAACCCCTTTTCAAAGTGACTCAACTCTACTAAATTCTTGTGAATTTTCTGTTTTACTTTTTGTACTTTTCAACTCCAAAATATTCTCTTGATTTTTAAATCTTTCCTATCTTGATGGCTAATCTCTATTTAATGAGACATGGTCATAACACCTTTCTTCAACTTCTTTCATACTCTCCCTTTAGCTCTTCAAACACAGTATGATAGCTGCTTTGAATTTCTTTGAGCTTTTTTTTCTGCAAAGTCCAACCTCTGAGCTCCCTGAAAGACAGGTTCTATCTTTGTTTTTTTTTTTTCTATTGGCATGGATTACTACTCTTTCTACTTGTTTGTGTGATTGACAATCTTTTTGGAAAATCGAATCTGTCAGATAAAACATTATCATGATTTTAGGACTGATTTCTCCCTCCCCTCTCTCAGGTCCTATTCTTGTGCTTTCTTTGTTTGGCTGGTTAGTTAGTGGCTTGACTGGGCTTTTTCAGTTAAGGCTATTTACCTCAGTGTTGGCAATATCTAGTGACACACATTAGAATACACAGCCTTGGGCATGCATAAAGTTTCCTCAACTATAGTTTTCCATCTGTTTCTTTCTCATTAAGCTTTTGAGTGGTTTACCTCTACTGGTATGGCACACAACTATTAACTTCCAGGAATTGTGATCTACTGATCTCTCACAACCCTCTGGGATACAAATTTCCCCATTAATATAAATTAATATCTGTGTGATATTAATTTATAACTCTCTGGGATATAAATTAAACTCCTTGGCAGAAGCAGTTTGATGACAATTTAAAGAATGCTCCCACCTGCCCTGGCTGCCATTCTTCATCAAATGACCGACCAGAACCCTTCTGATGGTATAGGAGCCACAAAGAAGGATAAGAGGTATGGCATGAACTAATACTGTCACACAACTGTTCCCACCACCAAATCTCCATAGTTTTTGTGGGTTAGAGGCAGGGAGAATAATTGTCAATTTTTACCAGCTGGTGAATCTTCCCACAATAATTTTTCCATTCTAGGAAGATAAGGGAAGATGGGAGATGCCACTTGTCTGCCAAGTCTATTGGAAAACTCTCCTACAACATAGAGACATGCAATAAAGGGGGACTGAATTCGCCCACTGTCCCAGACTGAATCCTCTGTGTAGTGGGAGCTGGGGTGGATTAAAGACAGTGAGATTTGGTTCCTACATAATATGAGCCACTTCCCTAGAATACATACCATTTGCCTTTAAAAACAACTATTATAATACTATGATTTTGTTAGAAAAAGACAATTTTCTGTCAACTGCCAGAAAATGGTGGAAATAAGTAAATTAGTCTACTGTATCCACAATGTCTTGGGGTTGGGAATCTGAGTGACTTGTACAACTATGTGTGGCAGCCCTTTAGGATGACATTTGACCTTGGAGAGTATACTGAAAGCACTTTTCCTACCAAGAAACAATAAAGAAAATGATCAACTTAAGTGTGAATTTTATTAGCATTCAAAGTGGATCCAGGCATGCAAAGATGCCTACGCCAGCAGTTCTTGGTACCCCTACATGCCAAACATTGAAATCCCTTCATGATCCATACTCACTGGGCTTACAAACAGGAAGTGAAGGATTCCAACTGCTGTCATTCTCACACTGGATTAAACTGCTGCCTGTGAGGTCAAAACCATCCTTGCAGTTGAACATAATAGAATCTTTGTATCTATAGATGGATCGAAACCCAGAGATAATCTTCCCATTTGGGACATCTGGCTGAGGACAGATGATTTCTAAAGAATCAGGAGAAAAGACAAGGGGCTCTTTAAAGACCATTGCAATCAGGATCCTATTGCTGCTGTTAATCCAGTTACAAGCATAAATCAAGTAGTTAGAAGGGAAACATTTGAATATACTTCACATGTACTTTATATATAATATGTATTTTAATATAAGTATTTTCAGGTTTTAAAAGCCTCCATATAATCTTTCTCTTTCCATGATATGGTTGCAGATAATCTCTTCAACTTACTCACCAAAAAGATCTATTGTTGTAAACCCAGTAGAAACAGCTATCTTCAAGGTTTCCAATCTTACAAGGATGATTTTGGTTGGCTGTGAATCAGGAGCCAATGTTAAGAACATAGGGACCATGAAGAGGCAGTAAGAACGCGCAGAACCCTGTGCCCCCAGTGGACGACAACAAACCTCCCCCGGCCCTCATTCCTCATCCATCACATCTGCTGTGTCACTCCTCCAAAGCCCTTCAGTTCCTCAACTCCTGGCCAAGCCCACTATTGTGGCTACAGCTGAAGTTGCTTTCATTTCTTGGATGCATGAGTATAACAGGTACTCACTTAGTCTGTTTCTATTTCTAAAACAAAATACCACACACTAGGCAACTTAGGAAGAGAAAAAGAGAGAAAAAAAGATATGAAAAATGCTCTGGCTCCCTAGCTGTCAGGGAAATGCAAATGAAAACCACACTGAGATTCCACTTAACCCCAGTGAGATTAGCCTACATTCAGAACTCTACTAACATCACCTGCTGGCGTGGATGTGGGAAGATATTCTCTTTCACTGTGGGAATGTAGGCTAGTACAACAACTATGGGAATCAGTATGGAGAGTGCTAAGAGAATTGAAAATTGACCTGCTGTATAACCCAGCTATCCCACTTTGGGGGATTTATCGAAAGAAAATGAAATCTGCATATGAGTAAGGGATCTGTAATTCTGTATTTACAGAAGTACAATCTACAATAGCAAAGACATGGAAATAACCAAGATGTCCATCAAAAGAGGAGTGGATAAAGTATTCCATGGAATACTACTCAGCCATGAAAAAGAACAAAATCATACCATTTGCAGCAAAATGGTCCCAATAGAGACCATTGCGCTCAGTAAAACAAGTCAATCCCAAAAGAACAAATATCATACCTTCTCTCTGACATAAGGCAGCCTTCATGCAAAACATGAGATTAATAGCCCTTTCAATACTGTTTTGCTACACCTCGGGGGGTTGTTTTTATTTTCATTCATTCAAAAGAAAGTTTTTGCTTTTCTTATTAATTTCCTCACTGACTCAGGTCATAAAATAGCACCATTTGCTTCAGGAAGGTCTTTGTTTTTCTTCTTCATTTCTTCAGCAACACATTGGTCATTCAGTGGAATGTTACTTAACTTCATGTTGTTGCAAATTTTCTGTTTTTCCTCTCTGTTGATTTTTGTTTGATGGCTTTTTATTTAAGGGGATATAGATTAACTATGAAGACACAATGCAGTGTGCATCTCTGCTTCCAAATAAAAGAGGGACTCCCAATGAAACTGTTGAATGTATCTTGACAATAGGATGCTGGACTCTCTGCAATTGTTCATGCCTACAATGTCAGGATACACTTAAATAGCAGAACGATGGACTTATGACTGATTGTAAAGGATTCTACTACTGTAACGACATGAGGGAAACTAGTAGAGGGAGCAGAGGCTTGGGGAAGGGGGAAGGAAAATCCTGGAGCCTATGGAACTGTATCATGGAATAATAAAATAAATGAATAATTTTTTTAAAGAAATGCGTCTTTTTACAATTGTAGGGGCTGGGAAGTCCAAGGGCTTGGCACCAGCAAACCCAGTGTCTGGGGAGGGCTTGTTGTGTGCCTCCAGATGGCACCTTGTGTTGCACTCCCCTAAGGAGGAAGGGACGAACGCTGTGCCTCACAGGGCAGGATGGTGATAGAGCCAGGGGTCTCCCAGGACACTGACCTCACTCAGGAGGAGACACTTTCAGGGGTTTAGCCCTGCCCCCGAAGACTCCACCCTCTTAACACCTCACTTTGAGGTTCTCTAGAGAAAAAGGGCCCTTGAGGCAGTGTTAGAGAGAAGGAGGGTAGTTCAGGCAAATTCCAGGAAACGTCAACCTCTTTAGGGAAAAACAGAATATAAAAAACACAATTTAGAATAGACCAAAGGGAGGAAGATGGCATCTAAGATAAGAATATGAGAAATATTAACCAACTACAGACCCTTCCTGCATGTAGACAGAAGTGGGGGATCCAGTCACTAACCCCTTTGGTGCTTGTGAACTGGGTGGAGGGGTGGAGGTGGAGGAAAAGAAATCCAAATATGACATTCACTAGGTAAAGGGTCAGTATGTTATAGAAAAGGAAGGGAGAGAAAGAAATAACCAAAAAGAGACCATTCCCACAGGGCGATGGAGTTCTAGGACCCCCTTGCATTGGAAGGGTCGGGGGAGGGAGCTTCTGCTGCTTATTGCAAATGAACTTGCTTTCACTCCTGTACTTTCTGCCAGGCTTTCCTCCCTTATTCCTGTGCTGAGCAACAAGTCAGCGCACCAAGACAGGCAACCCTCCAACCTGGATGTGACAATTCCAGCATGAATTTGGAGGGATACAGTCAGATTGTAGCAGGTGGCTCTTGGTTGAGACTTGGCCCACTTCAAATTGTTGTTCACGCTCCAATCAGAATCATCTTTCTAAAATGTGCCATGTTAACTCCTGGGTTACTACAGTTCAATGCCTCCCATTCACATTTCTTATTAACTTGGGAGTGACACAAAGCTGTTTATAACCTGTCCTCTGTAAACTTTTTCAACCTCAGATACTGCCATTTCCATCTTTTGCAAATCTGACTCTAGGCATGTGAACAAACTAATAATACCATACTTTATCTTCTAACTCAAGAATGGCTTGCTTTGTCCTACTGACATTTATATATTGTATGTAGCTAACATGACAAGTGCTAACCAGTATTACCATTCCTGCCTTCTAAACAGAAAAACACTACTCTCCTCAGTCCTGTGAGGCTAGGTAGAAGCTACTCATTAGCTGTTCTAGACAAAAGACTGTGAGGTCTATGCGGTCCCTTCCAGGCCAAGGCCATTTACAGCCAAGACACATCTGCCTTTCTCTTTCTCTACAGAAGAAATTGTGAAAGCTCATTTTGCTTGAAGGTGCTGGAAGGTCACAGCCACCTGGACAACTGGTCCTTAAAGAACACATAGACAGCTGCCACCCTAGGGAAGCTCCTTGGTGTGCAGCCGATTTGGTATGAAAGAGAACAAACTTTCATTTTGCGCACCAGGGAGACCCTGGCACTGTCTACTGTAGCATATCCTAACACAGCATGCCGTGAGCTATTAACTGGCCTGCTCAACAACTGCTTCTGTGCAATCATGAGCCTGACCTTGGTTGTTTTTGTTTCCCTGATAGATTCATCCTCCTTTTTCTTTCAAACAAAAGAAAACAAGCAATTGGAACGTACTTTTGCAGGTAGGAGGGTCTGAGCTCCAGGTCCCTACTGTTTTATTCTGTATTGTACAGGAAATGGAGGCCTCGCCCAAGAGTGTGAAGTCCGGGTCACAGGTGTAGGTGATGATGGATCCAAACGTGAAGTACTCTTCATTTTTGCCGTTGTGCTTCCCATTGTTGATGTTCGGAGGGGACTCACATTTCACAACTGAGGTGAGGAGGGGAGGACAAAGATCATCAGAGCAGACATATCACAGATCTGCAATCCATGCTCATTCTATTAGAGCATGAAAATTGCAGGAAAGATACACAGTGCTTTTTAAAATTATCTAACATAATTTATAATTAACCTAAAAGAAAAATACTTACTTTCACATTTTGGGAGAGGATCACTCCATTCAACTCCTTTCTCTTGAATATCACAATAACTACTGGTTGACCCAATTAAGAAATATCTGAATAAGACAGGAACAATGATTTTAATAGAATTCTTCCTACCCTAAATTAAATTGAATAAAGAGATAGAACAAATAGAATGGTTAGTTAATATTGAAATAAAGAGGATCTGGTGCCACGACTCAATGAGCTAATCTTCTACCTGCAAGTGCCGGCATCCCTTATTGGTGCCAATTTTAGTCCCAGCTGCTCTACTTCCTATCCAGCTCCTTGCTTGCGGTCTGGGGAGTCAGCAGAGGATCCATGTCCCTGGGACCATGCATCTGCATGTGCGACCTGAATGAGGCTTCTGGCTTCAGACTGGCTCAGCTCTGACTGTTTCAACTATTTGGGAACCAGAGGATGGAAGATCTCTTGTTTTGTTTGTCTCTCTTTTTCTCTTTGTCTCTCTTTTTCTCTGTAAATTGGCCATTCAAATAAAAACAAGTAATTCTTAAAAAAAAAAAAGGGGGGGGTGCCTTGAGATGAAAAAAAAAAGAATTAAAAAATAAAGCATGTTTCCTAGGATATCACCTCCCACTGAGCACTAATCAATAAAATTCCATTGTGCAATAAGATGTGACTGTTTCTTCGTTCAAGCATCTAAATATGAGGTACAGAACTTATCCTGAGCTCAGGCAGGCCAACAAGTGTTTTATGTAGTGTTCTTTGGTCATGAGAACTATTGTCAAAAAACCACTGAGAGCAGTGAGACAAACTCAAGAAAGCTAAAGACTCAGAAATTAGCAAGAGCCACAGAAATGGGGCACAATTAATTAGCAGAATGATGGACTTGGAACTGCTTAAGAAGGACTATACTATCACAATAATATGGGGGAATAAGCAAGGGAGAGGGGCTTGGTGAGGGGATAAGGAAAATCTCAGATCCTATGGAACTATAGCATAAAATTAAAAATAAAATAGAGGGGAAAAGAAAAGAAATGGGGAAGTCCCTGGCATACAGAGGTAAGCCAAACATCTGGAAGTCAGGAGGAGGCTTCACAACAGACAGCACATGAGTTTGGGGTCAGTAACCCAGCCAGGACTCAGGCTGCAGATAGAATTTGATGTTGCAGGAACCCATGGAATAGCTTTCACATTAGGCTTCCTTTTAGAAACCTATGATAGGTCAAATTACAGGCAACCAAGAGATGGCCAGCACAGCTTATGCTGAAAACAGAAATTATTTAAAAGCACTGAACAAACAGACCCAAAATGAAGACAAGGAAAGGATGAAGAGTGGCTGAATGAAATATAAATATCCTATGTGCGAATGGAGCTAACTACATGGGAGGTGAGAAAAATAGTATGTGCTCCTGGGTGCCGTTAATCTGCCTTCTAAAGTTTAAAATGATTTTGGAAATTGTTCATTTATTTGAAGTCATGTATTTAAAACATATAAAAGAGAGCATAACAAGTATTCAAAGAGCTCTTTAACAGAGTGGAAAGTAGATTGGTTGGTACAACGGTGATATGTAACTAAAATGCACAAGCTAGGTACAAGGTAACGTGTCTGAGAAGCAGCCATGATAGTGAAAGTTTGCAAATACCCAGGTGTGTGTCAAAGAGGCTGATGAGTCGGAATCCATCTCCACATGGAATTCTGTGCAGTTGAAAAAGGAAATCATCGAGGACCTTCACACGCAGACATTCACACATCACTGGTGTACATTGATGAGTCAAAAACAAATCCATTCAAAGCTACATTTGCTATTGAAAATGAGAAAATGAAAATATGTGCTGGTTTCTTAGCTTGTATTAATGGAAGAAAATGTTAGAAAGATATGTAGAAAAAGAACGAAAAAGTGGTCCTTGGCTGAGGGAAGGAGAGAATTGGCTGCGTGGAGATAGAATGGAAGCAAAAAAAAAAAATTCAATGAATGTTTTTCCACACCATTTTAATTTTTGAAATATATGGACATCTTAGTTACTTCACAAATCGATTTCAAAGGATTGGATCTAGATTACCTCACACTCACCCTTCTGAACAGCTGAATTCTATCTGTGATCCAAAAGAGAAATCTGTCTTAACTTCCACTTGCCCATTAGGTAGATCTCCTGGGTTTCTGCATCGTTTCTCTAGGAACAAATTAAGATGGTAAGCAGTGATTTTTAAGGGCCGGCAGATGTGTCAGTAGGAGAGCTGACTGATGCATCAAGCTCCCTTGCTGCTTCCAGACTCAGACGCAGATTCAAACTTATTTCTGATTTATTTTAGAGGGAAAATAAATACAAAATTTGCTCTCTCTCTCTCTTTGACATTTTTCCAACAGAAAAAAACACACAATCACTGTGATAATAGAATCTGAGATCCAGGATTTAATGCCATGATCAGGAACTGGGAGCCTTTAGCTCACTGAACTGCAGTTACTAGAAAACGCATGTCCTCAATCGTAAAAGGCATGCACACAGGACGGTACAGATTGTTAGCCCTTTTTGCTGGAAAACCCTGCAGAGAACATTCCTGACAGCAAGTCGGTTCTTCCAGATGTGAGATTCCTTTGGAAACCATGCTATCCCTTTCTAGCTACCTAACTCTTAGTATTTTTAAGTGAATCTGGTATTCAACTATCGAGATAAAGTTTGTACTGTGTTTCTTGAAAGAAATGTGTGGAGAGCGTTGCATTATAGAGCATTGTAGACTTCTCTTTGATGCAATTGGCTAACTTGAAATATTTTCTTCTTTGTTAATGTTTTGTTTTGGTTCTCAAAAAGCGGCATATGTCTTCATTGACCAATTAGAAGGTTCATGGTGAGGACAGATTCATGTAGCTCCTGGGCCAAGTTTTCAAACATGGAATAAGTACATATAAAAAGAATAAATACAGATACTCACTGATGCAGAAGGTATCGTACTCCCACAGGCCTCTGGATGTACAGGTAAGCAACTGCTTGGAGGATGCTCTGCCATAGCCAGGGCGGCAGGTATATTTCACAGTTTCTCCAGTTCTGTATTCAGTCTTATACAGTTCATTTGTTGGAGAAGCAAAAATCAAATAGGGTGGGGGGTCACAGTCACCTGGACACCAAAATGACAAGGAGCACCAAATGTTACAACATAGGATGTGGCGTCTTAACACTTCAGTAGCATGACTTACAGATCAGACACTATCCTTTTCCTCTCATCAGGAACAGCCACAGTTCCTATGATCTCCCTCCATTCAGTGACCTCAATAATTGATCAGTAATGCGTATCTGTTTTAAATTATAGTGATAACAATGAGCAGCAGTGACAGAAGGTGGGATTTCTTTTCCCTTTTCCACCACACACGGATAATTTGTCTAAAAATCCCCCATCTTGAAAAAGGTACTCTCCTCTGCTGCTGGTGGCACTGTGGACTCAGGCAGCCACTATGGACATCAGTATGGACAGCACTCAGGCAAGTGAAAATCCATTTAACACATGACCCAGCAATCCCACTCCTGGACATTTATATATATATATAAAGTAACACCAATATGTGGGAAAGTAGCATCCCTATATTCATTGCAGCACAATCCACAATAGCAAACACAAACAAACAACCTAGACACCCATTGAAAGAGGATTCAAAAAAGAAACTGTGGTATATATACTCTATGGAATACTACTCAGCCATTAAAAAGAAAGAAATGTTACCATTGGAAACAAAGTGGTCCCCATTAGAAACCATTATGCCCGGTGAAATAAACCAATCTCTAAGGGACAAATATCTATGTTCTCTCTGATATAAGACAACTTTCATCCAAAGTACAAAATGAAAATATATTAAGGTTAAACAAGTTTGTACTTGTAATCTCACAAAGAATGCAATGGAGACCAGAGTCACAAGAATCACAGATCTACAGTATGCATCTCTACTCCTGAATGAAAGCAGGCCCCAATAAAACTGTTATTTATACATAGACAGCAAAATACTAAACTCCCTGCCATTGCTTATCCCTACAATGTCATGACTCTCATAAAGAGCAGAGCGCTGGAGTCAAGGCTACAGCTGAAGGACTATGATTATTGTAAAACACAGGGGACAGTGGGGAGGGGAGGAGAGAAGAAGGAGATAAAAGGAGAAGCTCTAAACCTACAAAACTGTAAAGCAGAAAATAAGAATGTAAAAAAATCCCCCATCTCTCTAACTCGGATACATCTATAAAAAGTCAGGAATTTCTATGATTTTGCCTCAACAGAAATATGTTACTGAATTTTAAATAATATTACATAACATCAATTGCTCACAGAAGGAAATTGAGTGGCTAGGAGATGGACAACAGTAACATTTTTCATTTATATTTTTAAAAATTTTTGGATTTTGAATAATAAAGAAGAGGAAGCATGAAGCCTTTGAAACAACAAAAATATATGATTTTACTTTCTGTGTAGAAATTAAATACTGAACTGAATTATCTTAATTTTTGGTATCAAATGAATTTATTCAAAAGGCACAAAAATAGGAACACAGACAAACAGGGAAACATGCATTTCCTGGCTCACTTACTAAAGGCTCACAACAACCAGGGCTGGACCAGATGAAGCTGGGAACTCAATCCAGTCTCCCATGCGGGTCGCCACTTGCTGCCTGCTAGCATGTGTATTACAGCAGTAAGACTCAGGAGACAGACTGGGACTCAAATGCAGGCATCTGGCATGTGGGATGTTAGACAACCTATTGTGGCAAACACCTGCTCCTGATTCACCTTTTCAGGACCCCAGTAACTCACAGGCAATGAAATGTATTCACTCAGGCTGATAGGTAATACAGATCTATTTGTTTCCAGTCACAGTTGAGAGATAGATTGCTTTAGAAATTCCAGGAGAAGAAATTCTAGGAGGAAGTGTCTAGAAAATTGATTATTTTGCATGTTGAAAAAAAATTCATCTAATTCCAGCAGGTCAAAAACCCTTTGCTGCCGAAGCTAGGTGCTCAGCCATCTCGGTTTTAATCTTCAACCTGAGTATGCACATGATCTCAATTACTTTCTGCCCATCTGAACTCATTCGTCCATTACTCACCAGTAACAGGAGCCAACAGAACAGTGACCAAGATCATCTGGAACAGAATTTGATCCAAGACTTTCCAGTGCCTAGAGAAGGGCCAGGCTGCCATTTCCCCCTTCTTACGATGGGTCCCATTCAGAGCTCTTGAGATGCACAGGACCTGCTGCTTCCCCAACATCTTTTGCTGAAAAGAACGTGATAATAAACAATCATTGAATTGCTACTGCTTATCAGGTAACAGGATGATTGATGTGGGAACCACGTCTGAAGGAAATTACAGCCTACAGTGGAAGAAAACACAAGTACGACCAAACAAGACTGCAAAGTTCCCACTCAGGAGATGGATAAGCTCCTGAGAGGGTTTACAGAGGAGGCCACAGCTGTGCTCTGTGTACAGAATTCTGGGTCTCATCTCCACTGATGCCCTTGGTGCCCTGAAACCCCAAGGCAATGGCCAGAGTAGAGAGGGGTTGGTGCCTCCTCCCTTCCCTGGGTGCATGTGGAAAAGGCCCATCCACATCCAAGGCTGTGGTCACTATATAGGAATCATACATGGAGTTCTGGGTTCAAGTGTGTCCTGCAGATGCAGCCATTTCGCTGGTTCATAAACAAATGTGAATAATTGTCTTCCTCTGCCCTATCCTACATGGAAACCATCAGCCAATCAGGCCTGTCTTCTCTACTCGGGTTTCTAGCTAGCAGAATTCCAGAGGTTAACTAAAATTGCAAGCCTTTCTAAAGCTGATGAAAGGCACCTCAACAAAACAGGGAAGAAATCTTGGCTCGTCCATCGCAGCGGCAGAGAAGGAGGTATCAACAAAAACAGCCTCACAACTGTTGTTTCCAATGCAGCCATCCTTCCTAGCTTTCAGAGATCATTGCTCTGCCACATGGAAAGCAGTCTTTAAGAAAATCCACAGCTTGGGCCTGTGTCGTGGGCATAGCACGTGAAGCAGTCACCTGTGACACCAGCATTCCCTATCTGCAAGAGCCCTGTCTCAAGCCCCAGCTGATCCGCTCCTGATCCGGCTCCCCGGTAATGCAGTAAGGAAGTCGGCAGAAGGTGGCCCTGAGTAACTGGTTTCCTGCCATTTGTGCGGGAGATATGGCTGGAGTTCTAGGCTCCTGTTAGCATCCTGGCTCGGCCTGGCCATTGCAGCCACTCGAGAAGTGAGCCTACAGGTGAAGGCTCTCTCTTTCTTCACTATCTCTCTCTTTCTAACACTTACTTTTAAATAAGTAAATAAATCTATTTTTAAAGATTTATTTATTCCTATAGTCAGATATGCAGAGAAGAGGAAGAGAGAGAGGAAGATCTTGCATTTTTGTTGATTCACTCCCCTAACGGCCGCAATGGCTGGAGCTTTGCCGATCCAAAGCCAGGAGCCCATAGCCTTTTCCGGGTCTCCCACACAGGTGCAGGGTCCCAAGGCTTTGGGCCGTCCTCGACTGCTTTCCCAGGCCACAAGCAGGGAGCTGGATGGGAAGCGGGACTGCTGGAATTAGAACCAGTGCCTATATAGGATTCCCGGCGCATGTAAGGTGAGGACTTTAGCTGCTAGGCTACTGCTCTGGGCCCAGTAAATAAGTATTTAAAAATACAGTTGAAACTACAATTTTAACCATCTTTGTGAAATATTTTCATAGAGTTAATATTTCAATAAATACTTCTGTTTTCTGAAAGTTGTAAAAATTTGTGTACAGAAGTAAATTTTTTTTCATCTGCAATCCTGAAAGTAAACTGAAGCTTTTGATTGTTACATTTCTTATTTAATCCAAAAGATTTTAATTGTTGAGTCACAATTTCCAAGGTTTAGATTAGTATGTCTAACTACTCTCGTAGGGGCCAGCATCCCTAGTTAAATCACTGTCTTCCTCCACCATCCCTTGACCTCCATGCTGACTCATTCAGGTAACTGACATTGCAGACTAAAAGCCTGACTCACTCACACCCTCCCATTTGTCCAGTCTCCATATTTAAAGTTGCACATCCTGTCAAGCTGGTCATAGCAACAGCAGTAGAGTCTGTTTTTTCCTATGTTCCGCCACTCTAGTCTACATCAGGTTCTCACAGTTTCCTTCACCTAGACCACAGCAAAAGCTTTCAGACATTTGTAAGTTTGCTTTCATGTCAATATATTCTATTCCAACAAAGAAATTTAAGTCATTTTGCTTAAACCCACCCATGGCCTCCAGTCCCTAGGTGCCTCATCTTTCACATGGCTTCAATTTCATGAAAGTACTCAGTGTTCCCAAAAGACACTCTGGAATTTTTTAAGCACCCATAAGCATTTGCACACATAACGTCTCATGTGCATGAATGCCACTCCCTGCAACCTCTCTTTTATCACCATGCAGACGTGTTGTCGCCTCCAAGAAATGTCAGCATCCTTTATGGCCCTTAGTACTTTGATGATTCCTTAACTGCAGCAACATCTGGTATTAGAATGATTTCCCTCTGCCTCCTGAAGTGGACTGTGGGTTTCTTGAAGAGAAAGGCACTTACTCAGAATGTTATCTCTAACCTGGAATTATAACTGGAGTATGCTAGTTTTTCAATACATATAAAACAAATGAAACCTCAACTGGTTTTCTCTTCTGAGTGAGAATGAGCAGCTGTATCCATATCAAATGAAGTGACATGGGTGAAGTGCTCTGCCAATTTTGTGGAGAGGATGCAGAGTATAGATTTCCCTAACACTCATGTCTCCAGTTGCACATTTGCAATTGCCCAAAATGGCTCCTTGGGCCCTTCTGCAGAACTCTCCTGCAGCTCACCCAGAGGTGGAAGTTAGGGTTTTTGAGTTGTGGGGACCTGAGTCAGAGCCCCAGCAATGGCGCACTCTGATTCAGTGATCCTGAAGAAGAGACACCTGCTTCTTGGAACTCAGTTTCCTCATCTCCAAAAGGCTGACATTAAACTTAGAGGATTCATTTTATTCCTTAAAAGCTCTGCTATTCTGTACCTTCCCACTAAAAAGCTGAGACTGCTATGTTTTCCACTTCAAAGACATCATCTATTTAATTCCTAGAGAAATGCAAGCAACACAAGATCCCCAGTCAACCTGGCATATCTGTTGTGAAAAATACCATCAGCTCTTGCCAAAACGGTTCAATCTGAAAGATACCAGTTTTCAAATTTCTCCTCCTGTTAGAAGTTACTTTTTAAGTTAAAGTGTGTATCCAAATGCCCCTTTTAGAATTCAGATCCCTCTGGAGAGGATCGTTTCACTGGTCTCAGGGTGAATGTCTTTTTCCCTACTCCTAGGCTCTCAGTCACATCTCTTACAAACTCTGGGAAGAACTTACAAGGCAGGCACTTGACATAACAGCTCTGATGCTGCTTGGGCATCCACATCCAATGTCAGTGTGCCTAGTCTGAGTCGAGGCTACTTCGCTCCCAATTGCAGTACAGCTGCCACTGAGCTTCCTGCAAGACAGCAGGTGTTGGCTCAAGTTCACAGGTACCTGCTGCCCACCTGGTAAGCCTTGACTGAGTTTCCAGCTTCCAGTTTTGAACTTGCCTAGACCCAGATGTTGTGGGCATTAGGAGGATGAATCAGCAGATGGGAAATGCTCTCTCTTTCCCTCACCTTCTCCATCTCTCCTTTCTCTGCTTTTCCTTCTCTACTTTTCAAATAATTGAAATAAATGAAAATTTTGGAAAAGAACTTATCTCCACATTGTCCCTTCGCTTCCTAGTCTCTACAATTTCAATTCTTTCTCTGTGTGTGTGGGAGGGGGACGGATCAGAACATTAAACAAACACAACTGGAGGACACAGAGCCCCCAACAGCTTTAGGTATACTCAACAGGTGTCTCCTTTGAAATCCAACAAGTCTATGAGATTTTTCTTGTCTATTGTCACAACTTGTGAATGATTCATGAATTTACAACGCATGCATCAAGCATTATTTATTCAAATGAAGGAAAGGCAATTTTTAAAACCTCTAACATAGTTGGAATATATGGAAATCAACTGTGTTTCTTCAGAGCATCAGTGACATAGTTACGGGCGCCAACACCTTTGGTGGAAGCACGCTGGATCTACTTTTTCCTTTTTGTATCATTGAACTTTGCCAAGTGATTGCTCCTGTGTGGTTCAGATGTAAGTGCAAGATAATCTTGTATTGCTTTTCTTCATCAATGGGTTCTGTTAATAAGCAGTATTATTATTCTCTCATTTATAATTAAAAAATAGAGTATCAGAAGGGTTTTTTTTAAAGTACTTTGTAAAGTCACACAACCCCCTAACCAAGTGCTCCTGAAAAGATTTCTGCTGAAAGCACTGCTAAATTTTTGTCTCAGTCTCTGTCCATATAATCCTGCACTTCTTTGTGAAGTGACAAACCACTAGACAAACCACTAGCTCTTCCCCCACAGTGCTTCAAGTGCTGATGAGTTCACTGACCTGTGGTAGCAGAGGAGGAAGTAGCAGGCTCTATGCTGGGGCCTTGGGTAGCTTCTCAAGGAAGAAAACAATCTTGATTGCTACAGTCCGCAGCTCTGTGCAAGACAGTCTGTCATAACGCCTTGAGGCTGGCCAGGAATGGTTGGTTCCACCAAAACTTTCCTAAATGGTAGCCATGCAGTTGGCCAGACAGGGACAGCTGAATGGATGAGCAGAAACTCCCTCCTGCCCAGTGAATGATTAACAACAGCAACGAAGCAGCTGCCCTGCTTGGCTGATCTCTCTCCGCTTCACTTCTTGTTTTTGGTGAAAATGTTGCAATTGTTTATTTTCTCCTGTGCCAACCACTTCCCCTAAATGAAAGGCAATTTGAAATTGATGCCAAACATTCTTATTCTTCATAAACACAAAAGGCTTGTGCCAGGTGTAATCCAGCTAGCGTGGAAATCTTAGATGCTTGAGGGGTTAGACAGGTTCCAAAAAATGGTCAAGCTGGCAAGCTTTCCTGGGACCCAGAGACAGATAGTCTTGCTGTGCCCTTGAATCCATCCCAGTTCAAAGAAGTATGGAAGTAGGTCTTGGATATTTTATTGTCCAAGGTGCCAGAGCACATTTCACTTCCCAAGGGCACTGTCGCGATCCTTCTCTCGCCTGACCGGCTTCACTGAAAATCACAGCACGTCCACCTCATCAAATGTCCTCTCTGCTTCAGTCCTGACTCAGAGGGAGTTATTTCTTCTTCTGCCCCATTTTCACAATGTGTCTCTCAACCTGGAAGGATCCCTCAGCCTTGCCAGAAATTCTGACTTCACTTGGCTTCTCTAGTATGGTCCTGAAGTGGTTGAAGACGTAACCTGTGCTTCCTGCCTCTCTCATGTCCCATCACCCTGTTGCCTTCCACTTTGGATTCCACACAGCTCTCTACCGGCTCAGCTCTCTGAATCCTCTGTCGCATTTGACACTGCTGGTGATTTCTTTACCAGAAACGCTCTTCCACTTTGACTCCCACTGCCCTCAACTTCTCCTTCATGTCTGATACCTCCATCTTAGTAGCCGCAACCTCCTTTTCCTCTCTCTCATCCCTACACGTACATCCATCCCAGGGTCCTTTTCGGTTTTGTAATGCATTAGTTTATGCACAGTTTTAGCAATCTCTCATGAATGATTGGGTCAGTTGGCAAGTTGTTTCAATTGGACTTTTGCAATGTGTCTCGTGTCTGTTGTTTGTTTGTTTGTTTTTCTACTTCCACACATCAAACGAGTTTGGGGTCATTATTGTTTGTTATGTAGATGTCTCCATTCCTTGTGAAGGATCCTCACAGAATACCTGAGCCTGAGTAACTTATAAAGAAAAAAATGTCTATCTCTTACAGATCTCAGATGGGAAGTACAATGTTGAGGGAAAAGGTTTTTTTAAATGTATCATTTGATGGTGGAAGATTGAAACACAAGCGAGCATGCCTGTGACAGAGAGGGAAGGGAGCTGAACTCATCACATTGGGAACTGACATTCGTGAAAACCAACTCTTGTGATAATGGAATAAAATCCACGTATGAGAGCACAGCCCTCATGACCCAATATCACCTCTTAAAGATCTCACCCCGCAACACCGTCACACTGCGTACTGAACTCCCAACAAATGCACTTTGGGGAAACATATTCAGGCATAGCTGTGGACAATTACAGAAGCTCTTTAATTGGCTTCTGCCCCAATCTTGCTTCATCTTCAACAAATGATACAGGCAGGTGTGAGATAACTTCCCTCTTGCCCCATTTTGTCCTATCCTTTCATAAAAGAATTCTACGTCTCCTTGCTGCCTATTAAAATATGTGTACATTCTCATTCAAAGCGATGCAGATCTCTTGTTGGGCTGTCTTTGCAGCCTTCTCTGTCTCCACTCTGCATGCTTCATCCTGACCAATCCAGGCTGTGTGCTGTTCCCTAAACATGTGCCATCCTCCTGCCTACCATGCTTTTAAAAAAATGACTACCATTTAAAAATTCAATTCAAAATGCTAAGAAAGTAAGTGCTATAATCCCACCATTCTACCCTGTTTTCATCTGCACCTATTTTTTGTCCAGACTTTGTCCATAAGAATAGGGGTTTTATATAACTGCAATCATGCACCCTCAGGAATTATGCTATTTTACTTAAAATTATGCTCTTAAGGTTTTTTCTACCTTCATAATTAGCACTGGGAAGGTCCAGAGAACATTTGATAGGTAATAAGTTATTTATAATTTTCCTAAGATAATGGTCCTATTAGTACAGATAATAATAATAAAATAGGTCTCCTCAGATTACAAGCAGTTTATGCCAATTAGACTAATCTTCTTAGTAGATTTACTTAGAAATCTTATGACTTACAGAAATTCCTCAGAGATCTGAAAATACTTATCATATGACCCAACCATTCCACCCCTGGGAATTTACTCAAATGAAATTAAATCAACATATGAGAGAGCTATTTATACCCCAATGATTATTGCAGCTCATTTCATGATAGCTAACATACAGAATCAATCCAGATTCATCAATAGATGATTGGATAATGAAAATGTGATATACATATACTATGAAATGATATTCAGCCATGCAAATAAACGAAATCTTGTGTTCTGAAACAAAACTGATGCAACTGGAAGCCATTATGTTTTGTGAAATATGACAGTCTCAAAAAGACAAAAATCATAGGTTTTCTCTGAAATGCAGCAGCTAATACAGAATACTAAAAAAAATATTGGAATGAAATGATCACATTGGGATATGATTGCTTTCTTTAGCCCTTGTTTGTCCTCCTGTGATTTCCCTGCTTTTCACTTGTTGAATATTATGATTAGTGACAAAATAAGCCTGTAAATATAGAATGGATTAAAAGCATGTCTTTGTGAAAAATGGTGAAGGGATGGAAAGGAGGGTGGAAGGGTTATTGAGGAGGGACAGGAAGTATGGTCATCTTCTTAGAACCAAATGCCCCAAATGTGTTTATTTAGTAAAAAGACTAAAACAAAGCTTAGGACTCTTACACCATTTCTCTAAACTCTTTTCTTTAATATCTAAATGTCACTCGCCCTTAAAGACCCAAATACTACAGTGGCCTCCTTGATGATATTCTTGGATCTTCTGCTACAGATGGATACTCCTCCCCTCACGCCCCACCACTCACCCCCTTCAGCAGAGCACTCAATTTATGCCAGTGTTCTGAGACAATGCTCTCTGTGTCCACATCTTGTGTCTTCTCAAAGCCTCCAAGTCCCTGTAGAGCCCATTTCTTGGGCTCCTTAGTGACCTTGCCTAGAGATCTGCCCTTCTTTCATTCAGCTGGGATATTTTGGTTATATTTTATCCATATTTCCTACATGTTATGGTTGAGGAAAAGGGAGCTTTTCATGTCATATCATTATGACATCCTGATAGAAACCCTTAGAACTTTTGCTACATTATACAAAAGAAAGTAAGGCATTCAGTCTATTGCATCACCTCAAATCTCCCAAAAGTCAATCAGGAACATCACTATGGAAGATTCTACTTGGTTCCAGAAACCATGTGGGGCCTAACTCTGGTTCTGCCTCGATGGATCATTGTAAAGAGCTAATTTTCCCGCAAATAAGAGGTTGAGTTTGTTCCTTAATTTTTGGTTAAACTGAGGTTAAGTTTTGCCTTATATTTGTGCCTCATAACCCTTAACTGAGACCCAAGTTTCCTTGTTTTCCTTACAGACAGGAAATTAAACTCTCCACTTTTTACTGTTGCCAGTTTCTAAAGAGATGACATCTACATTGGCCAACTCACATTCTGATCATTCATAATATGATAACTCAGGTGCACATGGACACCAAGGTACATTATACAATTGCAGTTGCATAACTGTAAAATCATATTAGAAGACAATTGGTGACAAATCTGAAACCAATTTCAGAACCAAGAGAAAAATGTATTAACAGATTACTTCAATACCAGATTTCTTAACTCCAGCGTTTTGCCAACATTTTTGCCTCCAGCTCCACTTTCTTCATCTCCAAAGAATAGTTTAGTTCTCCCAATGTGAAGCTATTCTTCTCTAATCTTTGTGCAAGATTCTCTGGGTTTTTGCAAAGGCTGCTGTTCTTCTGAAAGGCAAACTGAAGAAGTGAAAAGTTTTAAATGAAACTCAAGGACTGAGATGAGCTATAAAGGCTGACGTCAATAAAGGGTAGCAGGTAGAGGCGTAAATTGAGGTAGGGCACAGCGTTGGGCCTCAGGGAGTTAGAGTGGGGGCCCGACTGTTTAACATGATGAATAAGCTCCATGTCCTGGATTCAGTATAGTCATTAATACTTTCCCATAGCAAATATACACTCAAAGAAGAGCCTCTTTGAAAATGACTCTGTTTCAGGTTATTTTTTAAGCCTATTGGAATTTAAAAGCTTTTTACAGCAGTACATTCAAATCTTGGGCGTTGAGTTTCTGTACTTTGCTCTCTGAGATACCCGAGGTGACGGTTCCTGCCAACAGGGGACTTTTAGGAGGCATTTGTGTCAGTGGTGGCAAACGAGCCCATCTGTATACATAGACATCAGGCCAAAGCCAGCCTCTCCAAAACATTAACACACATCACAGAGTTATCTATTGAGAATGTGCCAGGAGCCAGTGCCAGGCTAAAACAGACACATAGGAGCGCCCTAGTTGCCAGTAGACCCCAAAGATCCAGCTGTGTCCTATTTAGAATTGCATTCTGGAGCTCAGGCTTCCTGGACCAACTCATGGGCTCAAGTGCACTCGGCTCACTCCCTGTGGTTGTGCTGCAGCTCACGACGTGCCCACTACATGGTGCCTGAACAGGCATCAGTACAGTGCTCAGCCTTCCCACTCTCACAGGGTGACTGAAACAGGTCTTTTGTCTTTGTCGTGGAGTGTTTCTTACCATGATGGAATCCACCACCCTACTCCCAGCCTTCAGTTATCTCAGTGTAGCAAAACATCTTTAAAGAAAAACCCTTTGGAGGGTGAGGAGTCAACCCATAAACCACAGAGATGTGAGAAAATCCGAGCCACAGTATTTATTTACACACTTCTTGAGTGGGCTGGGGGGGGGGGAGGAGAAGCAGTTCATCACACAAAACCCAAGATGGTACCACTTATCCAAGCTCTGACAAGGAGCAGAAAGCTAATGATACCCCTCCCAAAGCCCTTGTGTGTAGGCTAGGAGAGAGAAACAATTTGTTATCAGAAAACCATGACAGTCAACTGCCAAGTCTGTTGGCAGGATGTAAAAAATTGAAATGGCAATTAAAGAAGCTACGTCAA